GGAGAGCAGGTGGAGGTTTGAGGAGAGCGGGTGGAGGTTTGAGGAGAGCGGGTGGAGGTTTGAGGAGAGCGGGTGGAGGTTTGAGGAGAGTGGGTGGAGGTTTGAGGAGAGCAGGTGAGAGCGGGTGGAGGTTTGAGGAGAGCAGGTGAGAGTGGGTGGAGGTTTGAAGAGAGTGGGTGGAGATTTGAAGAGAGTGGGTGAAGATTTCAGGAGAGCGGGTGGAGGTTTGAGGAGAGCGGGTGGAGGTTTGAGGAGAGGCTCCTGACAACAGCACCCGAAATGCTCCGACAGTCCATCAAGCGGTGAGGCTTTGTAGTTTACCAAAGTCCTACTAAAACAATGACAGATTTTTAAGCACTGTGTACCACATAAAATCAGTTCGAGGTCAGTAAACACAACCAGAATTAATACATAAAGTGCACTGCTGATTTTTGAGAACATTAAAGGATTTTAAGTGTGCCTTATAGTCCAAAAAATACAATAATTTGTCTGCAGCACTTTGGAAACTCATTGAAGTTTATACAATGTGCGAAGATGGGAGGTTTCACAATTGTCACGGTAACAGAACCCACAATCTCTCTAGTTTTGGACACTTAAGGGCTCAGTATTTGACACAGTCCTCCTCCAGCTAAGGGCATAGCTCACCTTAAAGGGGCGGGGCAGGTCGGGCTGGGTGTAGCGCAGGTAAAGCAGACCCAGGACCACCACAGCGATGAAGAACCAGCGCATGAAGCTCATGAAGTTCAGGAGGCCGTAGATGTCTCCAACAAAGATCTGGAGCACTGTCATGGGGTACTGCACGCACGTCAGACAGAAAAATGGTGATAAAATAAAGTACACGTGATGTGAGGGCAGAGACACTGACCAGAACTAAGACGGCGGGCAGAGGCGTGTGTCTGCGCACGTGGATCATGGACAGGACTGTGGGCAACTGCTGCTCCCGAGACGCCACGAAGAACATCCTGGACACAAGGTGAATGTGAAGAAGAACAGAGCTCCATCAGTTCCGGCTGCAATTCATTTCGTATTGTAAAAACATGGTCCCTCTCTCTGTAACCGCTGCTGTCAGACTCCTTATATTGGTCTTAAAATGTTCATATTATCCTGCTCTCCATGATCCTGGGGTTTTTATTTAACTATTTTTGAAAATGAATTCCTATTACTAATTTGGAACTTCAAGCTTCAAATTCACCACTAGCCTGAGGAAAAGGGGTGAAGGATTGCGGTGAGCAGGTGGAGGTTTGAGGAGAGTGGATAAGAGTGGGTGAAGGTTTGAGGAGAGAGGGTGGAGGTTTGCGGTGAGCAGGTGGAGGTTTGAGGAGAGCGGGTGGAGGTTTGAGGAGAGCGGGTGGAGGTTTGAGGAGAGCGGGTGGAGGTTTAAGGAGAGCGGGTGGAGATTTGAGGAGAGCGGGTGGAGGTTTAAGGAGAGCTGGTGGAGGTTTGAGGAGAGCGGGTGGAGGTTTAAGGAGAGCGGGTGGAGGTTTAAGGAGAGCGGGTGGAGATTTGAGGAGAGCGGGTGGAGGTTTGAGGAGAGCGGGTGGAGGTTTGAGGAGAGCAGGTGGAGGTTCGAGGAGAGCGGGTGGAGGTTCGAGGAGAGCGGGTGGAGGTTCGAGGAGAGCGGGTGGAGGTTCGAGGAGAGCGGTGGAGGTTCGAGAGAGCGTGAGGTTCGAGGAGAGCGGGTGGAGGTTCGAGGAGAGCGGGTGGAGGATGAGGAGAGCGGGTGGAGATTTGAGGAGAGCGGGTGGAGGTTTGAGGAGAGCGGGTGGAGGTGAGGTTTGAGGAGAGCGGGTGGAGGCGGGTGGAGGTTTGAGAGAGCGGGTGGAGCGGTGGAGGTGGAGGGGTGGAGATTTGAGGAGAGCGGGTGGAGGTTGAGGAGAGCGGGTGGAGGTTTGAGGAGAGCGGGTGGAGGTTGAGGAGAGCGGGTGGAGGTTCGAGAGAGCGGGAGGTTCGAGGAGAGCGGGTGGAGATTTTGAGGAGAGCGGGTGGAGGAGGTTCGAGGAGAGCGGGTGGAGGTTTAGGAGAGCGGGTGGAGATTGAGGAGAGCGGGTGGAGGATTGAGGAGAGCGGGTGGAGGTTAGACGAGGTGGAGGTTCGAGGAGAGCGGGTGGAGGATTGAGGAGAGCGGGTGGAGGTTCGAGAGAGCGGGTGGAGGATTGAGAGAGCGGGAGTGGAGGATTGAGGAGAGCGGGTGGAGGTTTAAGGAGAGCGGGTGGAGATTTGAGGAGAGCGGGTGGAGGATTGAGGAGAGCGGGTGGAGGTTTGAGGAGAGCGGGTGGAGGTTTGAGGAGAGCGGGTGGAGGATTGAGGAGAGCGGGTGGAGGTTTGAGGAGAGCGGTGGAGGTTCGAGGAGAGCGGGTGGAGTTGAGGAGAGCGGGTGGAGGATTGAGGACAGCGGGTGGAGGTTTGAGGAGAGCGGGTTAGCAGGCGGGTGGTGCAGTACCTGGCCAGGGCGAAGAGGGAGCCGTTCATGGAGCCGAAGCAGGACAGAGCCACAAACACAGGCACCGCCACAGAGAAGCCCCCGTACACCCGCTCAGCAAACGTCTGCAACACAACAACACACACAGAGGACACGTTACAGGTCAGATCTGTGGAGAGGAGACCCCGCTAACTGATGTTTGACTTTTTTGTTTTGTTTTTTTAGCAACATGTGATTTAATGAATGTAAGACATTCATTTATATTCCAAACACAGACACAGTGTGACTCAAGAGACCAAACCATCTCCTCATCTCATCATCTCATTTCCTCTTCTCATCACCTGGGGCGCCAGTGGCAAAAAACTGTTGTTGTGTCCTTAGGCAAGACACTTTGACACCCACATTGCCCAGTATGAAAGTGGTGTGAGCGTGAGTGATGGTGGTGGTCAGAGGGGCCGATGGCGCAGATTGGCAGCCTCGCTTCCGTCAGTCTGCCCCAGGGCAGCTGTGGCTACAGTAGTAGTTTACACCACTGAGTGTGGAGTGACTGAATAATGAACTGTAAAGTGCTTTGGGGATCTTGAAAGGTGCTATCTATAAATGCAATCAATCAATCAATCAACCTCCTCTCATCATCTCATCATATCATCTTTTCATCTCCTCTCCTCTTCTCCTCATCTCATCTCCTCTTCATCATTTCATCTCATCATCATCTCCTCATCTCTTATGTTTTATTCATTGTGTTTTGTTCAGTAGTTCACCAATGCGTCGTCGTTCTCCTTTAAGCTTTTGTCGTTCTGACCTTTACCATTAACTGTAAGTTCCTCAAACCTACAGCTGGACACTTGCAGCAGCTGTGAAATAGATTTATCAGTGTTGCCAGATTGGGTGGGTGGGCTTCTTTTGACTACGTCGGGCTGGGAGGGGAAGCCTTAGGTGGGCAGATAATATTTAGGTGACTTTCAATAAGTTTGGATGTTTTTTTGTTTTCACATCAATCAACGTGATACACAATAACACGAGGAACTGTTCAGGACTTTTACTCCTGTCCAGTTTTGTGGAGGAGTTCAGGTCTGTGCACAAATGAACACACGTCCTCTGTTCAGTCCTCTCAGTGTTCAGCTGTTGCAGATTCAGTTCTTCAGTGTTTGAGTCTCAGGTTTTGTGTTTGCAGCTGTTCTTGTCGTAGTCGAGGCTGTAGTCGACCATTGATGAGATTCATTTTTATGTGTGATGAAAACACTTTTCTACGTTTTATCAAAGGTTTTACAGAACATGTTTTCTCAATCCTGCCAATAGATTAAATTACAACATGTTTATTCAACTATTCGGCTAAATGACTAGATTGTTTTATTTTGTTTTGTTGTTGTTGTTTTTTTTGGGGGGGGGGTGTTGTGATAAATGAAAATGCAGTTTTATGTTGAACATTTTTTTCTCAATTCTGGCACTGTTTTCAAAAGCCCAACAATGGATTATATGTTTATTCAAAGAGCGCGATTCTTCGGATTGGGCAGAAATCACTAAACCCAATCTGGCAACACTGAAGACAATTCTCCATAAAAAGCAAATCTAGATTAAAAAGGGAACACGGTGATCTAAATATGTTACGTGTTCCCAGTTAATACCCCACAGAAGTGTAATACCCCCTACATGTATTCCCCTACACATTACAGATTACCTACACCAAAATGTAGTTTGTAACGGAATCCATTAAATTACTTAAAGTGAGTAACGTAATCTGAATACTTTGGATTACTTGATGTTGTCGTGCTTTTTAAAACTCCATGAAGGTAACAACCACATCCTGAAAATTCATGTTTGTTCTCTTCAAATTGTTTGTTGAGCCCAAGTCTCCATGAACAGACTTTTGTTTGTTGTAGAGAAGCAAAGACGAGGAAATCTTAACATGAGATCTTTTGTTTTATCTGCTAAAAGAAAATAAAAAGTCCAGTCTTTCCTTAAACACATTAAAAATATTATTGATAGAGAAATGTTTTCTATGTGAGATCACTGCTGCCTTCAATTATGTCCACCTACTGTTAGTGTCATGTTGTTTAGACCTGGTTTAGACCTGGTTTTAGACCTGGTTTTAGACCTGGTTTTATATCTGATTTTAGACCTGGTTTAGTTCTGGTTTAGTCCTGCCTTTAGACCTGGTTTAGCCCTGGTTTAGCCCTGGTTTTAGACCTGGTTTTAGTCCTGGTTTGTTGTTTTTAGTCCTGGTTTTAGTCCTGGTTTAGTCCTGGTCCAAAATGTGAAAATTGGAAAATACCTCTGTGTAATCCATTTATTTCAATAAAGTAACTGTAATCCAATTACCACTCATTGAAACAGTAACTGTAACTGAATACAGTTACTCATAATTTGTACTCTGATGACGCAGTGCCGGTACATGTAATCTGTTACTCCCCAACACTGACGGAGGATGATACTTAAGACAAAAGGCTGGGAACCTCTGATCTAATCGAGCACTTAAACTGTTACTCGAGTATTCCAGTGTCATGTAGGGCCAGAAAAAGCCCGCTGCAGGAGTTGATGAGCACATCGTGCCTGATGACGTGTCTGATTGCCTCCTGAGAACGCGCTCTGGAGTCTAAAGCGAAGTTTGAAATCGAGTTTGGAGCTAAACTTCGGCGCAGCGTCTGAGAAAGAGGAAGAGTGTAAAACGATTAATCCCATCTGCGCCTTTTAAGAGCAGCTAACGCGGTAACACCTGTGCTTAAGGCAGACTATCGCTCACCATACAGCGCCAACGAACCTAACGGCATTAGCAACGATCCAGCACTCAGCCAATGAGGCCTGCCATGATTAGCACCGGCACGGAACGCTGCGGCCCATTACGCCAAAGCACACCTCGGAGATCAGAGCAGACGAGGGCGGGGCTGACGCGGAGGACGCAGCGATGGACACAAATGAACCCCAATAAAAATATGACGATGTTAATCACCCAATCTTATGACAATCCACCTGAAACTCTGCTCAAGCCTGCTCATACTTCTGTTACATTAAATGGACTCTTGTGAAATTTAAGTCATGTTAGAATGTTGTTACCTCGTCAAAAACAGACCTGGAGTTGTTTTGAGTAATTCTGAATTATTAGTCTACATCTCCAAAGCTCTAAATCAGGGGTGTCCAAACTTTTTTCATCAAGGGCCACATATCTAAACACAGATGAAGCAGAGGGCCGATCGAGGGCCGTAGACTGGTTCTCAGTACAGTGAATAATTGAAATATGTGCATGTTTAACACGTAAGAATGAGCCATCAGCAATGTTCCCTCTAAGCTGCGCAACTGCGCAATTGTGCACTGCTCGCACACTCTCAGAGCACAAGAAAAACTATGCAGCGCACTGCAAATGAAATGGATCTATAACATTTTTTTCTGTATCATTTTGCTGTGTAACTCAGTGAGTGACAGGTGTCCAGCCAATCATACGATACGATGCAATTATGCTACGCAGCCAGTCACGGCCATGACACTACTTGCGCACGTGCTCTGCCCACACGTGCTATATAACAATAATAACAGTGTGGCGGAGTTAAGTGACACTAATGCTAACCCGTTATCATGGCAGTGAATGTGGTACGTCCACTCACCAAACCAAAGTAAAAAAGAAATACGGTTCTTTTAAGATGGACTGGCTGTCGGAATATGTGCAAATAGAAGAAGAAGCGGTGAAACTGCTGATGAGCATAAAGTCAAAGCAAGAAGCAGACGAAGCCATCGACCTGGACAAAGTGTTCAACCACTGGAGAAGTGAGAAGGATAGATGTGAAAAATAACGTAAAATTTAAGTCAAATTTGTGCATATTCTAGTGAGATTTATTAAGATGTTTTATTTATGGATATTAATCATTAAATTCTATTATGAATAGATCATTTATTGGTAGTAGAAATGCTAATAAAAGACACAAGCTACAGCACACGTCATTGTGGAAAATGTGAATGTTTTAATGTGAACAAAATGTTCTGTCTGACAGGTGTATATGTCTCATTTCTTCCAGAGCAAGACCCTCACCTAGGCCAAAACTGGACCTCACCGACCTAGGACAGAGTGTGAGTTGAGAAGAACTCGGTCTAAATCTGCAGGTTTGTGTGTTAAACATGTGAATGAAACAAAACAACTCCAGGGTTAGAAAGAAGAAACATTCAGTGACAAATTATATATACAGAGTGTCCCAAGAAATTTGACAATTTTGCAGGCCAATAATTTTGGTAATTCTTGTTGAAATAACTTCAAATTTTCACAGAATGTAGAGAAATAGATCAAGGTTTTATATTTTTGTTCTGTTTTCAGGTTCAGTCGTTCACTCCCAAAGAGAAGTCATTTTGTGTTTTGGAATCTGCTGAACGCACTCACCCAAAACTGTGCAGCTTCAGTGCAATGTTTGGAAAAACTTCACCAACCAGCAAACGAATTTGGACTTGGTACCAAAAATGTAAAGAGGAAGTATGTTATGCTCTGGTGGACCATCATCGACATCAGAAGAGAAGGTCGAGCAAGTTTGCGAAGCCCCATTAAGTCTGTAAGGAGAACAAGAACCCAGATTCCTTGAATGATGCTTTGGCGTACCAGACCTTTTAGCCCTCCTTCCTCTTTACATTTTTGGTATCAAGTCCAAATGAGTTTTTCCAAATGTTGCGTTGAAGCTGCACAGTCTTGGGTGAGTGTGCACTGCAGATTCCAAACACAAAATGACTTCTCTTTGGGAGTGAACGGCTCAACCTGAAAACAAAAATAAAACTATAAATACAAAATCTTGATCTGTTTCTAATTTTTTTGGGACACCCTGTATATTTTTTATTTTTAAAGCAATAAAAAGCAATTGAATAAGTGCACAATAGACATGATTGTCACTATGACCAAAACAACTATTGCAACACTGAGCTGAGCCCTCCATGTTTTACACAAAGAACCAAGTGAGGCACACAGAGAAATGAAACGAAGCTGAACACTGCCCCCTGGTGGCATTTTGGAAACACTAACACAAGAATAAATGTGTCCAAATGTTGATTACAGCACATGAAAAGCACAATGAAGACAAGACTAAAGCAGGACTCGACCACAAGGACAATGAGATATTATGTTGTCAGTGTTGGGGAGTAACAGATTACATGTACCACAGTTATGTAATCAGAGTACAAATTATGAGTAGCTGTATTCAGTTACAGTTACTGTTTCAGTGAGTGGTAATTGGATTACAGTTACTTGGTTGAAATAAATGGATTACACAGCGGTATGTTTCTGTTTTCACATTTTGGGCTAAAACAGGACTAAACCAGGACTAAAACCAGGTCTAAACAATATGACACTAACAGTAGATGGACATAATTGAAGGCAGCAGTGACCTCATGTAGAAAACATTTCTCTATCAATAATATTTTTAATGTGTTTAAGGAAAGACTGGACTTTTTGTGTCTTTTAGCAGATAAAACATCTTCATCTTTGCTTCTCTACAGTAAAACAAAAGTCTGTTCATGGAGACTTGGGCTCAACAGACAATTTGAAGAGAACAAACATGAATTTTCAGGATGTGGTTGTTACATTCACATTGTTTTAAAAAAAACATGACAATATCAAGTAATCCAAAGTATTCAGATTATGTTACTCACTTTAAGTAATTTAATGAATTACGTTACAAACTAGATTTGGGGTATGTAATCTGTAATCTGTAGGGGATTACATTTTAAAAGTCACCTTCCCAACACTGTATGTTGTTAAAGAGGGGGAGTTTTTTCTCTTTGGCATTAACTTTTAACATTTAGATCACCATGTTACCTTTTATAGTTTTTCAAATTGTCATATTAAACGAAAAAATGAACTTTTTCACTTTTGTTTTTGATGCTGTGAGTCTTTCCTCTTTTTATGGAGAGTTGTCTTGTGGGAGCAAGGGCGATGTAGACGGGTGGGTGGAGCATTGCACAGAATACAGAATATAGAATATAGAATATAGAATATAGAATATAGAATATAGAAAACTTCTCCTCGGTCCAGACATCTGTATTAAACTGTATTAAATTGTATAGATTGTGCAAAAAGATGAATGTCACATAGAAGAAAAGAGAAGATTATAGTGATTTTAAATGTATAAAAGAATGACAGGTACAAAGATTAGGAGTTAAGTGTAATATTTTGTTTGTAACTACTATTTTTCGTTGGAAGAGGGCTACTCGATAAAGAATCATCTGTAATAAAGTCATTTTAATATTTCATTGTCCGTGTGTTGTCGACAGCCTCCAGTATATCTTCCTGCTAACAGTCAGGAGGCTTTGAACAGGAGAGATCACTAGATTAGTGTAAAAGCCCTCAGTTGTCCAGGTACAATCCATGGCAGTTTATTTTGGTCGAACCAAAATAAACTTTAGTCCAGTTGACAAATTGAATTTCTCCTTTTTCCATCACTAGATTAGTCAAATATTAAAGGGACAGTTTGGAATTTTGGTCATAGGGCCTCGTTTCCTAGTGATCCAGAGTGTTGGAGACGTGTGGAGACACTTTTTTGAAATATTCCATCCAGTCCTTGTATTTGCAGAGGTCACTGGTGCTAGACTAGTGCATGTCAATGGTCATAGTTCTCCTGCCACTAAAAACAGTCTTACCCACTCCACAAAACACCTGAAACAAATCTATTATTACACCAGACTGTCCATGTGAATGTCTGTGTTGATAGAATAATGTTTGAAATAAAACTAACCTTGCATCACATGAATTGTCACATGTTGAGGGACTATATTTCTCATATATCAGTCCGCCGCTCCCGAGCTTTCTATCAGGAAATACAACTCACTGCTGCTCAGACAGAAATCCTTCAAATGTAAGGTTGGTTTTACTTCTAAAATGATTCTATCAACTAAGACATTTACATCGACAGTCTGGTGTAATAGTAGATTTTCTTCGGGTGTTTTGTGGAGTGGACTCGCCCCTCCCTCCTGAACTCCAACCGCTGACGTCGCACGCTCGCGGAGCCGAGCTGTCATGGCCGCGAGACGCAAGGCCCTGAGTGGACCACGTTTAGGCGCACTAAGATTACTGTTGCAAGGTGTCCAGCTCAGTAATTACGGAGAGTGTGCTGGCATCGTGGGGTAAGTGGGGAAATGGTCTTGTTGGCTCAGTAACGCCGTGTGCGAGGTTAATATGGGTTGTGTTTTTAGCGTCTGTGGCTCGGCGTTGGGCGGTCCTCGGCGTGTTTGGGTGGCGCTGCGGTGAAACCTATATGGTATGTCACTATGGTTTATTTTGTGTTCCTCTTTGTCATGTGTATTGTATGTTAAATGTAACATGTTATATTTAGGCTCCTGCTGGTGCGTAGCCTCCCTTTTTCTTTCTCTATGTACCTGCTTTGTTCTTTGGTTGTGGCCCTGGGTGAAAGGACTCGCTCTCTGAAATCTTTGTCTTGTGGGAAGCGATACTGCGAGGCGTGATACTGACTGTGGTTATGGTCCTAAGGTAATCCCGATCAAACAAGGCCATGCGACTGAATGGACAATGACTGGGCAATGAACGTACAGGATTGTTCAAGGAAATGTGTGTGATTAACCCCTTGTGAAAATGGATAATAAATTCAATGTTAAGTATATTCAAGTCTCATGCCATATTCAGTTAACGAACCTGGGTGCCTATAGTGGGTGGAGAAAATACTGTGTCCTGGCGTTGTTGGTAATTTTACTACACTGAAGTCCACGTGAAAATGACGCTGCTCCGCTACACAAGCATAAAACCTCTTCAGGCAGGTTTTTTGATAAGACATTATAATATTTTAGAAAGCTCACAAAAATGTATTTTGCATCATGGAAAATAATATATATTTTTTAATGCGGATACATTCTCTTGTTCAATTCCGAATTGTGATCTTAATTTATTTACAGTTTCTTATCCATCTGACAAATGCTTTGGAACAGAAAGCATTCAAGTTGTAGCCTGATTCATGAGCCGCTTTCACTCCGTACAAACCATGTGACCTCGCAGTGTTAGGATTTGTTCACTTGACGGTAAACGGGTACTTTTTATCATTTAACCAATCGCTGCTATTTGGTCGTGACATATGTAATGTGCCTCTAACGGGGCTAACTGGTATATTAAGCTTTTTCCAAATCCTAAAGGAAGAAGGACAATAACCTCTTTCCCAAACATTCTCTTTGCTCCGGCTTTAAATCCTCGATCTTGAGAATCGTTGACAACACAATATATGGCTCTTCGCTGATTGGTTGGTGCCTGAACTAGCACTTCTGGGGTTTCTGTGAACTGTCTAGTGCAGGGGTGTCAAACTCATTTTGGTCCGGGGGTCGTATCCAACCGACTTTGATCCCAAAAGTCAGGATCAGAAAACTCATGTCATATAAACCCCAAAAATAACAATAAGTTCAAATATTTGTGCAAGGAAACGCAAATCTATTACAGAAATCTTTTTTAATTGTGGAACTCTTTCTTTTATAAAATATTATGAACAACCTTAAACTTTAAGAAAACTGCAATTTCAACACAATGTTTTAACATGAACTTGTCTGTAAATAGGAATAAGTCTTTTTTTCTTGGTAAATCCTGCACTCGGCTCCACTTTTCTCATGTTGGACATTTTGTTGATGAGGGTGTCACGGTCAACAGTCAAAACGATCGTCCTTTAAGAGCGTTTGGAAAGAGACAAGTCTTCATTTGTGCTGCTCTGGTGGGAGGGGCCACGTACAGAGACGCTGGAGACGCTGCTGTGCTAAATGACGCAGAAAATTACCAATATTTTAATAGAAAATATAATTAAAATATTTGAGTAGAAAATCAGCCGAGGGCCAGATTAAAGGTCTTGGAGGGCCGGATCCAGCCCCCGGGCCGGATGTTCGACACCTGTCGTCTAGTGTATTCTGATTCTTGACCTAGTCGCTGAAGAGAAATGAAATTGAGCAGAGGCACTAGGTGGCACCAGCCTGGCTAATAATATTGTAGAAAGCTAACAAAAAAAAATCGATTTTGCATCATGGAAAATAATATATATATTTTTTTGAAGCGGATACATTCTCTTGTTGGATTCAGAATTGTGATCTTGATTTATTTACAGTTTCTTATCCACTGTCAAATGATTTGAAAGCACTCAAGTTCTGATTCTTCAAGTGATTTGAATCGGTTTGAATGATCCAGAGTTTCACTGATCACGTTTCATAATGAGAGTTGTTTTGCGTGTGCAGCTGTCCTCACCACAGCCACAGCGTCAGAGGCCAGCAGCTCGTCCACAGACATGACGCTGAAGTAGGCCACGTTGGTCAGGACGTAGCAGGAGGTCACCACGGCCATGGAGATACAGATGGCCAAGGGCAGAGTCCTGAGGAGCACAGCCAATGTCAGCAACATCTCACCGAGACACACACGACTTCGGTCTACTGCCGCCTGGAAGTCGAGTCAAACAGATGACCACATCCAAACACAATCTGTGTGTCATTCGTTCATTCTTTTTTCAAAATGAAAACAAAAATAAGAAAACAAAAAAATAAACAACTATTGTAATGGTCGTTTCCTGTTTCCGTGACTTAAACTGCATAGCCGGACTTTGCACCACATGTGGACTGAACCAGGACTAAGAAAGGTCTAAAACAGAGATTAAACCAGGACTGAACCAGGATTAAACCAGGATTAAACCAGGACTGAACCAGGATTAAACCAGGACTAAACCAGGACTAAACCAGGACTGAACCAGGACTGAACCAGGACTAAACCAGGACTGAACCAGGACTAAACCAGGACTGAACCAGGATTAAACCAGGGATTAAATCAGGACTAAACCAGGATTGAACCAGGACTGAACCAGGACTCAACCAGGACTCAACCAGGACTCAACCAAGACTAAACCAGGACTGACCCAGGACTAAACCAGGACTGAACCAGGGATTAAACCAGGACTAAACTATGTCTAAACCAGTCTCAGTCCCGGTCTGGTCTTGATTTCAGTCCCAGTCTCAGTCCTGGTCCTGGTCTTCATCCTGCTCATCCGACAGTCTATGACGGCACAGCTCCTCCATCCCGACACGACCTGGTTTAGTCTTGGTTTTAGTCCTGGTTTAGTCCTGGTTCAGTCCTGGTTCAGTCCAACATCACAGTTTAAATCACAGAAATAGGAAATGGTCATTATCCATTTTTTCCATTATTCATTTAAAAACTAAAAACTGAAAAAACTAATCATTATCTGTTGTTGTTTTTTTCATTTTGGTTTTGGAGACAAATAATGAAGAAAATAGTTGTTTTTTCGTTTTCTTATTTTTAGTTTTATTTTGAAAAACGAATGATACACGGATTAAACACACTTGTCATACTCAGCACGTTCCATAGACTAGAAGAGATTATATAGAAAACATCCATAATCTATTTAGGTTATTGTAAATGTTTGATAGATATAAGCCTCTTAAATTACATTACTTTATAATGTCGTTTCCTCATCACAAACAAACCTGGAGTTGTGTTTTGTTTCATTCACACACGTTCAACACACAAACGCTCCACACTGAGTTCTTGTCGCAAACGGAAAACTCTGTTCTACCTCGTGATGTCACGTAGTAATACAGGAAGTGCTCCATACACCTTCACTAGGGGTGTGCAAAAATATTGAAATATCAATATATCGTATCGTTTAATATGATGATACAGTATCGATATCTTGGGCTGCTGTATTGATATATCACGAAGAGTATTTTTTTTCCATATTTAACTAAATAATTTTGTTACAGTGCACAGTTTTGTTGCTTTTTTAAAGAAAAACTCGTATATGCGACACATTTGACATTTTCACTGTTTTGATGATTAAAATGTTTGTGTTTCATATGAACTTTGCACAAAAAGTGGTTTAACAAAGACTTTTAGTGTCACAGCCATGATTTAGCCTTTATTTTTTATGAAACCATATTGATCGGATTTGAAATATATCGTATCGAATCAAAAGCTCACTGTATCGAGATTTGTATCGTACCGTGGCCTATGTATCGAGATATGTATCGTATCGGCAACTTCTTAATGATACCCAGCCCTAACCTTCACGAGAATCATTTGGATAATATCAGAATTGACCATCTCTACTGAACTAAAGTTAAAAGAAGCATGACATCACAAGGTGGGACAGAGCATTTTGAGCTTTGGCAATGGACACTAATAATAATAATAAAAAATGAATAATCAGACAATATAGATTTTATATTCTGTAATATCTTAAAGTGTACTTGTGGTGAATATAGTTTTGCATCAGTGAAGTGACAGTTTGTGGGAAAAAGTTGAAAAGTACAAAGATACAGGAAGTAGCACTGAGTTGTAAAACAGAATCCTTCTGCTTCTGTCATCAACATGGAAAAAACAATCCAAAATCCAGAGATAATTTAAGCACAAGGAAGAACTTTCTCTGACACTTTCTTTCATTAAATAAAGGTTTAAACATGCTGTCTTATATTCTCATTAGTCTGATGAGAATTTACATAATTCAAACATGTCTTGGCTCTTGTTAACATGTCGGTTGCTAGATAACACTTTTGGAATTGTCTTTAAACTATGTCTTGATGTAAAACATAAACTGAAACCTCTGTCTTGAACATGTCGGTTGCTAGATAACACTTTTGGAATTGTCTTTAAACTATAAACTTCATCAGATAAACCTCTGAAAATAAAGTAAAATCTTAAATGTAATGATGTTAATTATGTGTGATACATTTTCTATCAGGAAGCCTTCATTTGGCACATTTTACATTTAACTGGTTGAAAAAAATAAATCTTTAGGGCAGAGTTAAAATGTTGACTCTTACTTTCACTCCTTGTTGTAGTAGTTTTAAAAAAGAATGTGCGCAAGTGAAATAATCTGCTGCAACGGAGTGAAAACAGTTTCAGGACTCACCGCTCTGGGTTCTCGATCTCCTCTGTCACAAAGTTCAAGTAGAACCTACAACAAAGAACAGGGTCAAAGAGGGCGGTGTGCAGAGGAGAACAGGGTGAGGGCGGTGTGCAGAGGAGAACAGAGTGAGGGCGGTGTGCAGAGGAGAACAGGGTCAGAGTGAGGGTGGTGTGCAGAGGAGAACAGAGTGAGGACGGTGTGCAGAGGAGAACAGGGTCAGAGTGAGGGCGGTGTGCAGAGGAGAACAGGGTCAGAGTGACGGCGGTGTGCAGAGGAGAACAGGGTCAGAGTGAGGGCGGTGTGCAGAGGAGAACAGGGTCAGAGTGAGGGCGGTGTGCAGAGGAGAACAGGTCAGAGTGAGGGCGGTGTGCAGGGGAGAACAGGGTCAGAGTGAGGGCGGTGTGCAAAGAACAGGGTCAACGAGGGCGGTGTGCAGAGTGCCCATGTGTGACTCTGTGTGATTGTGTGTGTGTGTGTTGTTTGTGTGTGTGTGATTGTGTGACTGTGTGTGCGTGTGTGTGTGTTTGTGTGTGTTGTTCATGTGTTGTTTGTGTGTTGTTTGTGTGTGTGTGTGACTGTGTGACTGTGTGTGTGTGTGACTGTGTGACTGTGTGTGCGTGTGTTGTTCGTACGTTGTTTGTGTGTTGTTTGTGTGTTGTTTGTGTGTTTTGTGTGTGTGTGTGTGACTGTGTGTGTGTGTGACTGTGTGACTGTGTGTGTGTGTGTGTGTGTGTGTGTGTGTGTGTGTGTGACTGTGTGTGTGACCGTGTGACTGTGTGTGTGTGTGACCGTGTGACTGTGTGTGTGTGTGACTGTGTGTGACTGTGTGTGTGTGTGACTGTGTGACTGTGTGTGTGTGTGTGTGTGTGACTGTGTGTGTGTGTGTGTGTGTGTGTGTGTGTCTGTGTGTGTGTGTGTGTGTGTGTGTGTGCTGTGTGTGTGTGTGTGTGTCTGTGTGTGTGTGTGTGTGTGTGTCTGTGTGTGTGTGTGTGTGTGTGTGTGTGTGTGTGTGTGTGTGTGTGTGTGTGTGTGTGTGTGTGTGTGTGTGTGTGTGCGTGTGTGCGTGTGTGTGTGTATCGTACCAGCCGGCGTAGGCGTACATCCCGGAGTAAAATGCCAGGGGCATCCCTGACAGCTGGATCCTGCTGGTGTCAAACATGTTGTCAAAGTTGGCCGTCTCTCCTGAAAACACAAAAGCACAAGAGGCTTAAAGCTGCACTGTGGAACTTCTGCTGTCAAAGGTGCATTATATAGTGACAAGACATGGAATGTTCCAGAGTATTGCATTAAATGTACTAGTAAATATTCATGAAGAAAAGCATGACAGCAACAGTACAAGTTACATGTCAGATCTATGGAGAGACGAGCAAACTCATAGTAAGAGTGTAGAGATCACTAGATTACTCAAACGTGCCTGGATGACATAAGACTTCTTCAGCTCCAAAGCTCCAAAAAACAATTATATGTATTATTATTAACTGTTTTATTAGAATTGTTAATACATAGATCATAAAAAGATGATCTTATGCTTTGGACGGGCCCTGTGCCCTGCTCCAGTATAGATGTAGTGTAGCAGATCTTGAAGTCAAAAGTAAGTACTAGGGCCAGACCGATATACTGACACTTGGAAAAATATCGGTGATTGGCCTAAATCTTGCCGATCTGGGCCGATAGTCCACGTGGGCATGTTATATCTAGTTATAGACAGACCAGATCAGGAGCAGGGCAAGCAAGACTAGCCTCATCTACTTGTACAGTACATAAGAGTACTACAGCACTAGAGTACTACAGAAATACTACAGAATACTACAGTGTGAGGTCTGACCTGTGAGTATGCGGTAGAGGCCAGGCAGAACAATGATGGCGATGGCCAGGAGCTTGCTGAAGGTCAAGAAGATCTGCACTCGAGCAGACCACGTCACACTCATGGCATTCAGGTACATGACCGCCGCTGGAGGACACACAGAGACACAGAGACACACAGAGAGACAGAGGACAGAGACACAGAGACAGACAGAGACAGAGACACAGAGAGACAGAGACACAGAGAGACAGAGAGACAGAGACACAGAGACAGAGACACAGAGAGACAGAGACAGAGACAGAGACAGAGACAGAGACAGAGACACAGAGACACAGAGACACAGAGAGACAGAGAGACAGAGGACAGAGACACAGAGAGACAGAGGACAGAGACACAGAGAGACAGAGAGACAGAGACAGAGACACAGAGAGACAGAGACACAGAGAGACAGAGACACAGAGACACAGAGACACAGAGAGACAGAGAGACACAGAGAGACAGAGAGACAGAGAGACAGAGACACAGAGAGACAGAGACACAGAGAGACAGAGACACAGAGACACAGAGAGACAGAGACACAGAGACAGAGACAGAGAGACACAGAGAGACAGAGACACAGAGACAGAGACACAGACAGAGAGACAGAGACACAGAGACAGAGACACAGAGAGACAGAGACAGAGAGACAGAGAGACAGAGACAGAGAGACAGAGACAGAGACACAGAGAGACAGAGACACAGAGAGACAGACAGAGACACAGAGAGACAGAGACACAGAGAGACAGAGACACAGAGACACAGAGAGACAGAGACACAGAGAGACAGAGAGACAGAGACACAGAGAGACAGAGGACAGAGACACAGAGAGACAGAGACACAGAGAGACAGAGACACAGAGACACAGAGAAACAGTGGGACAGAGAGAAAGAGGGACAGAGACACAGGCTTAGGCTGGTCCTGTTAGGGCCTTGTCTGAGCTGTAAACCTGACTTGGTCCTATTCTAGTCCTGGTTTAGTCCTGGTTTAGTCCTGGTTTAGTGCTGGTTTAGTGCTGGTTTAGTCCAGGTTTAGTCCAGGTTTAGTCCAGGTTTAGTCCAGTATTGATGTGGCCTTTCAGAACTACTTTAAAACCTCATGGTGATTTTAAAACATGGTCATTTAAATCAATGTTTTTTGTGGTACTCACTGATGCTGGTGTAGTGTGTGTGTGTGTGTGTGTGTGTGTGTGTGTGTGTGTGTGTGTGTGTGTGTGTGTGTGTGTGTGTGTGTACTCTGATAGATGTTTTTTTTGTGGTACTCACTGATGCTGCTGGTGGTTTTGTGTGATACTGATACAGATGTATCACACTGGTGTAGTGTGTGTGTGTGTGTACCAGTGTGTGGTACTCTGATAGATGTGTTTTGTGTGTGTACTGTGATGTGTGTGTGTGTGTGTGTGTGTGTGTGTGTGTGTGCGTGTGTGTGTGTGCGTGTGTGTGTGTGTATGTGTGTGGTACTCTGAGAGATGTGTTTTGTTTGTGGTACTCACTGATGCCGATGGTGGTGGCCAGTTTGACGGCCAGAGGAGGGATGGCACAGGGCATGAAGAGCGGCTCCAGGACGTACTGTCCAAAGGCCAGAGAGATGACCGCCATGGCCGCGGGTCTGCGGGCACAAACGGAGAGCCCGGTCACTCCAGGGAGTCCTAGAGGAGTACCCGAGAAATCCCCAAGGAGAGCTAGAGGAGGAGAGTCAGAGGAGAGCCGGAGGAGAGCCAGGAGAGAGCCAGAGGAGAGCAAGGAGAGAGCCAGAGGAGAGCAAGGAGAGAGCCAGGAGGGAGCCAGGAGAGAGCCAGAGTAGAGCCAGGAGGGAGCCAGAGGAGGAGAGCTAGGGGTGGAGAGGCAGAGGAGGAGAGCTAGGAGAAAGCAAGAGAAGAAGCACAAGAGCAGGGGTGCTAGAAGAGAGGAGGAAATGCCAGAGGAGCGCTAAAAGAGAGCCAGAAGCAAAGAGCCAGACGAGAACCAGAGGAGGAGAGACAGAGGAGAGGGGGAGAGCCAGATGAGAGCCAAAGGAGAGCCAGAGGAAGAGCACCAGGGGAGAGCTAGAAGAGAAAAGCCAGAGGAGGAGAGCCAGAGGAGTCTGTATGGAGCTATAACACCAGAGGTTTTTAAAATGCATATGACAGGTTAGAAAACTAATTCCACTAAGACATAATGTCACAGTGGGTGTTAAAGTGGTTAGCACTCTCATCCCACAGCAAGAAGGTCCTGGGTTTGATTCTGGGGCGGTGCGGGGCCTTTCTGTGTGGAGTTTGCATGTGTAGATTTCCTCTACCCCTAAAAACATGCACAAAAGCGTCCTGTGTGGGGTCAGGACTCCCCTGAAAAACAGATTCTTTATCTCAGTGGGGCTATTCTGGTTAAATAAAGCTCAATAAAATAATTTAATTATGTTTAAGATTTTAAATTTGACTTCCTGGTTGAACGGGCAGCTGATGTGACATACGTAGATGTAATTCATAACTGTTACCTAGCAACCAATATGTTAACAAGGGCCAACACCTAAACAGTTATTAGTAGGGATGTAACAATTACTGAAATAATATAATATTGTATCGTCAAAGTTCTCACAATAATATCATGGACCATCACAATATATCGAATTACAAGTCTCTTTACTTAAATTAAGAGGGAACTACATAGACCATGATCCTTTGCTCCATTTGAATGCAGACTACATGAAGAAATAACATTTCTAAGCACTTTTAAATCATAGTTCTTTGGATTAAGTCTTATCAAGGCATTGGGAAAAAGTAGCATATTAACAGTTTTAGCTGTTTAACCTCCACTAAATATCGCCATAAATATCGAACCGGTTCATACTGTGACGATATCGTTACACCCCTAGTTATTAGACTAATCAAAAATAATAATGCCTTCCCTGTGCATAAAAAATGGTCTCTGGATTCTGTTTTACAACTTTATTACTTCCGGTATTTTTGTACTTTTCAGTTTTTTCCATGTTTGGATGAGGCAAACATAAAAGCTGTGAGTGAACTGAGCTGAGTGAACTCTTCCCCACATGTTCAGAAGATCCTCATCCTCCTGAGTCCTGATTAAGACCAGTGTTTGGATTCTGGGCTCGTGTGAGACTCTAAACTGGAACCAGCTGCTGCTCATATAACAGCAGCTTTGCTTTTGTAACAAACTGGATGTATGGCTGCTGTCGCTTTGGGCTTGTTTACGTTTCTGCTGGAGATATTATTGCTTTGCCTAGAATGTTCCATAGTCTGGTATTAATCTATCAACCAGGTGATGCAGTGAAGTTACAGGTCAGATCTGTGGAGAGGCGACCCCAATCACAGTTTGCATGTCAGTCCGGTCCCTTCTCCCTCAGTCATGTCTCGAGCCAGAACAGAACACGATCGTCCAATCAGATTTGTTTATTTCAGTGACACGTGAAATGAACAAGCTCATTATTCACCATCATTTAGAAAAACAAAAGTGCATTTTTCTCACCTCACGTGAACAGACTTGTGATTCGCTCAGTGATTCTACAGAAACCTTCCATTTTTTGAGAGACACGTGATACAAATGAGCATCTGTGATTGGACCATCCCAAGTGAGGACGGGTTTGTCACACTCTGTGGTCTCATTCCAGACACTTTTGGATTCTAACAGAGTGTAGAAGGGACTGGCTGCGCCACTAGTCTCTCATCTTGTTCTCACGTGTCTGTTGTACACTCAAAGTTATTTAAAGGCTTTGGCCTCACAGCAAAACAAGTTCTGTCACTGAGTATAGTAATAAAATTATGCTGATGTTTTTGTTGAACCGGGTTTGTCACTATAATTACTCTGTGAACCTGTTTTATGAGACATGGGAAGTGTTTTTGTTTGGCTCATGATTTTGTGTTTGAAACCGTGTGGATCCTGCACTAGTGAAAGAATTATGTGTTTTATTGTGTTTAAACTGTTTCTTTTCACGTTCATCTTCAGCGTCCTGCCTCAGGACGACTGTATCAGGGTCTGAAGTACTTCTACTAGTACATGTACTGTTACGGTTTATTTGCAACATTAGTGAGAGACACAAGACATGACAGGTCAGAAAAACCCAGGGGCCGGAGCAAACCCAGGGGCCAGTGTGATGAATGAAATCAGTTGTAGTGTGTTACCTGAGAGCGACCAGCTCCACCCAGAGCCGGATGAAGGCCATCTGAGGGCCAAATGCCGCCAGGATGTACGTGTAGTGGCCCCCAGACTTCTTTATACAAGTCCCCAGCTCAGCATAGCTCAGGGCCCCTGCACACAGAAACAAGAAGATGAAACAATAGGGACAAACGCAGACCTGGGGCCCCTGGACACACAGGCACACTGTCGTGTATACAGTTATGCCACATACACTTAAATCATGTTATATTATGTTCTATAAAGTAGTTTAAAAGTCTCAGCAGAACACACAAGGACTTCTGACCACTCTGCCTATTATTTGGTGAGAGCGGTGCTCTCAGATCAGAGTACTTTAAATACACAGTTCAGAGTACTTTAAATACACAGTACAGAGTACTTTAAATACACAGTACAGAGTACTTTAAATACGCAGTACAGAGTACTTTAAATACGCAGTACAGAGTACAGAGTACTTTAAACACAGTTGTAGAGAAAGGGAGTAATTCTGTTCTTATGTCCCGAGGTCAACTCATCCTGGTCAACTCATCCTGGTATGCAGGACAATTATAACTTGTTACTTCAAACACTGGATAACTTGGCAGTACATGAAACTGATAATCACTGGAGATAGAAACCAGGGGCAACTTTTCCTGTTTCGAAAACACATTTCGCAGCGGGAAGGCTGACTCACTGAGAGACTGCGAGTGGGGATTGGCCCTCTCCGCACGCACATCTCTCGGTTGTATGGTATATAAGGCGGGGAAGTCTCTAGCCCGAGTAGAGTCTGCTGCGGGTTGCGTACGAACGCCCAGCGAGGTTGAAGCGCACTCTACCGGGGTTGTTGGCTCTCCAGCCCAGTGTCAGCGGTAAGAGCTTTTGATTATTATGCTTTAACCTATGATGCATTGATGTGTGGAAACAACTGAAGCGGGGAATAAAAAGACACATTTATTCTAGCTCTGTTGTCGTGTCATTTATTGTGTGATCAATCACTCTCCGCGAACCACCTCAGATTTTACAAAACAACAGTGAATACAGGTAGTGCACCAGCTCCTGTCCTGACTCTACACATCAGGTCCATCTGTGATGATGAGTGTGTCTCACAGACGACCAAAGTATGAACTCACTCACACAACTCTTTACATTCAGCCCAGTGTAAAAGCACCATCACACAAGGCCCTACAGAGGCCCCTGGGAACCTCTCACATCTGGATCTAACAGCTCAGCTCTGAATATAGGATGCTTCATTTGAGCCTAAGCCCAGGCTCTGAGGGGGTCTGAGGGGCTCTGTGGGGCTCTGAGGGGCTCTGTGAGGGCCTCGTGAGGGCCTCCTGAGGGGCCTCCCACTGGGCCCCGGGGCCACAGGGCTTATACAGCTGTGAGGAAATAAGTGAAGATTTAATGTTGAGTTCTTCCCTTCCACAGTCGCCTCTCTTTCACTGATACCACTGCATACACATGTACTAGTACATGTACTGGTACTCGTGGGTACAATGTGCCTAAAAGTCTTCTATTTAAAGGTGCACTATGGAATTTTTCTGGAGGGTCTGTCACCTGTCTGTCTCCATGGAAAGGACATTAAACTTTTTGGTGTCCGTGGAGACAAGAGGGTGCCACCAGGCCAAGTGACAGGTCAGATCTGTGGAATAAGAATGCATGTTTCTCAAAGTATTTGTAGTTTTTAGTTTAGTGCCATAATTAGAAACATTCCACATTCACCAATAAAAGGTTTACAAGACCACGAACTTGGAGCCCCTTTAAGGAGCAAAGACCTCAGAGCTGTGTGTGTGTGTGTGTGTTTACTGAGGGCTGTTGTGGTGTAATGTGCTTATATGTGTATGTACACACACACATCACTGTAACTGAGTACATTCTGAAACTTGTACTTATAATTGAGTCGAATTTTAACCACGGTACTGTAATCGCTGCATTTTAAATAATATTAGCGAGAACTGAAAAAGTCCCAGTCCACAGTCATCTGTGTCCAAAAAGGTAAGTAGTAAGTTTGAGTGTTATTACCTCCGCCAAGGAGGTTATGTTTTTGCCGGCGTTTGTCTGTCTGTTTGTTTGTTTGTTTGTTTGCTTGTCTGTTAGCAACATAACTCAAAAAGTTATGGACTGATTTTGATGAAATTTTCAGGATTTGTTGGAAATGTGAAAAGGAAGAACTGATTTCATTTTGGGGGTGATCCGGAAGAAATCCTGGATTCTGGATCACTTTGAAATTTGAGTTAACATTGTGGTAAATGGGGCCAAAAATTTTGTTTCTCAATATCTCGGTTATTGACCAAACCATGAAATTTGACTCAGGGATGGACAATGGGATCCTCTTTCATATTCCAAATTGAAAGATACGAGACAAATATTTATGGAAAACACAATTAATATGAGGGGGACTGTAGTCCTTGGCGGAGGTCTGCGCTCTCTGAGTGCTTTTCTAGTTTCTCATGTGTACTTTACTCTAACAGGAGTAACCGGGTATAGGCCGTCTGTCACGTTAAAGGAGTTTGTTTTTTCTTCATGTGGGTGTTTCTTGTTGTTTCTTGGGCCAGTGGACATGGAGCTTATGGTTTTAAAACCCTGTGACTCTCCTCTCCTCTTCTTAGGGGTTTTGCATTACACTTTTACTTAACTAGTCTTCACATTTTGGAAGTACTTGTAATTGAGTACATTTTTACCCATGGTACTACTTCTAATTGTGTACATATGTGTGTGTATGTGTGTGTGAGTGTGTGAGTGTGTGACTGACCGAACAGTGAGAGCACTCCACAGGCGATCCACACCAGTAGGCTGATCCCGATGCTGCCCGAGTGGCGGACGATGCCTTTGGGCGAGATGAAGATGCCCGCTCCGATGATGGTTCCCACGATGATGGACACGCCCCTCAGCAGGGTCACCTTCTTGCCCAGCTTCACCCGGCCCGGGGCCCCGCTCTGGTCCTCCGAGGGGCCATTCTGCTGACCGCCACTCCCACCGCCCCGACATACAGGAGGGGGGGACTGGAGGGGCATGGTACACCGCCCTATGCAGACAGGAGCGCAGACAGGAGCGCAGACAGGAGCGCAGACAGGAGCGCAGACAGGAGCGCAGACAGGAGCGCAGACAGGAGCGCAGACAGGAGCAGACAGGAGCACAGAGTCAAAGGGTTAGACTTAATGTACTGTGACAAAGTGGGTTCATAGACACTTTCCCTCATTTGTCACTTTAAGCATGTTCAGAATTTCCAAGTGCAAACCTCCTCAGCTGAAGAGATCATGAAATATTTACTGCAAAACCATTTTGAATGAAGCAGTGGTCTTGTTGATATGAGCACATTTGGATTGTCTTAAAAATAAAGTTTGCAAACAGAACAAGTGTTTTCTTTTAAGAGTAGCAGTGGGTTTCTCTCAGTTTCAAGAAAAAGAAAATGTTTGTGTTTTTTACATTTCAAGTGAAGCGACACATGAGCTGCTTGTTCCAATAAATCTGAATTTAAGACAATCAAAAATTGCTCAAATCAAGAAAACTGTTACACTGTTAAGCTTTTGTACAAGGTGTGAAAAAGAAAGCTGTGAGCAGTATCGATTGCTTGTATTATTTGCAGTAGTACACCAGGGGGCGGCATCTTGAGCTTTACACAAGCTGTCAGCACATGCCGCCTGAGCAAGGATACCTTAAACCTGAGGCACTGCTCAAAGAACATTTTGGAGATGAGCATAGGATGGCTATACTTATACAGCTTATACAGAAAATGCACTTGAGTGGACGCCTATAAAATCTGAACATATGGAATCCTTGTTCGATGTGTTTGTTGCACTGCCATATGTCTGTGGCAGCAGGGTTACAGTAGCTCCTGAAAATTCCTAAAAATCTCTGCCTTTTTAAGTTATTCTTGTTTGGATTTTAAGGTTTTATTTTTATTTACTTTATCCGTCCAAATAAACACTGACCATATTTTTGGGCCATTTTTGTGTTTTTCTCTAGATTTTTCTTTGTTTTTTATATTTGGCCCAGCAGTGCAGACAGCCTATTGTGTACTCCACAGAGCTCCTCCTTTCACAGTCCAAGTCCCCAGTGCTGTTTAGAGCTAAGTCTGACATTCTTGTGGAACTAAGGAGGACGACATGCAGATTAGACCACAGTCTTGTCCTGTTAACACCACACTATGTACCTGCAGTGAAGAGGCACCTTATCACCAATAGGACTGTAAGGAAGTGGAAAGCCACCCATGCCCTCCAGGACTGCCAGCCTTATGGGGACAACATCAACAGCATGGCGGACTGTATAACAAAGTACATCAACTTCTGTGAGGATATGGTCATCCCCACACACACTGTCCACTGTTACCCCAACAATAAGCTCTGGATCACTAGCCAGATGAAGGATCTACTCAATAAGAAGAAGTGGGCCTTCAACTCTGGTGACAAAGACAAGGTGAAGAGGGTACAGCTACAGCTGAAGGTCCAGCTAAGGCAGAGTCAAGAAGAGTACAGGAAGAGGCTGGAGGCAAAAGTCCAGCAAAACAACACCAGAAACATGTGGAAGGGGATGAAGACCATCACAGGCTTCAACACCAAAACAAAACAGCAGTGCAATAGCCCAGACAGGTCATATCTCATTTGCATTTTAAACGTTGTTAAATGTTGTAAACCTCTTCACCTCCCAGATACCCAGTCCACACCTCACCACAGACGGCCAATCATGAGCCCATCCCTTCTGCCCCTACAGCTGCCCTCATCCACACAGAGGAACTCAGCCTGGTGTTTTTGTCACATGCTCAGGTGAGAAAACAGCTGGAGAAAGTTCATCCAAGCAAGTATCCTGGACCAGACCAAGTCAACCCTCACGTGCGAAGGACATGTGCTGCACAGCTCACTGCGATCCAGCACTCTCTCTTCACACTGAGTCTGAAGCTTGAAAAGACCTCGGTGGTATAGAAGACCTCCTGCATTGTGCCAGTGCTCAAGAAGCCTATTCCATCTGGACTCAATGACTTCAGACCAGTTTCTTTGACATCTCATGTCATGAAAGTGTTTGAGAGACTTGTTCTGGCACAGCTCAGAGCCCTGGTGGCACCATCCCTGGATCCTCTACAGTTTCATTAAAGAAAGTTTGAATGTTTTAATGTCTTGAAGAGAAGTAAAAAAACATATCACAACAGTCTTTCCTGATCTGTGCAGGCAGAAGCATCCCACAAACCTTCATGATCACTCCAAAGGATGGGATGCGTCAGAGAGCACACAGCATCCAACAGGTGAAGATCAGGATGTGTCTCCAAAAACATGTGGCCATACACGGGTCGGGAACCAGGTCTCTGTTACCCACTGTATCTGTGCAAGTAAGGTCCAAAAACGGCAAGATGGTAAAAACAAATGCATTTATAGACTCTGGCAGTACACGGTCTCATGGGGGACTTGGAAGTCAAAGGGAAGACCTTCCTACTGAGACCATGTCCCAGGACAAGTATGTGGATAGTACCGTATTTTCTGCACTATAGGTCGCACTTAAAAGCCTTTAATTTCATCAAAAAACAACTGCGCACCTTATAATCCAGAACGTCTTATATATGAATTTATTTGTGTCTTAGTACGACTTTAGTAAATTACAAAGCCGCTCCACTTGCAGCATTACGGCTCCTGTAGTCAGGAGCATCAGGAGTAATACAGACTGTGATTCCTTTTAATATCAAAATGCACCTGTCAAGAGACTCGCTCACAACGCCCACTTTAAACTCAAGGCTGTTATAAAGTGAAAGTGTGAGCTGTGTGGGAGCAGTGGATGAGAGAAGGAAAACACACATTCACCAAGACAGAGAGACAGCGCCGAGCCACTGATCTGCCAATGGATCGAGGACGCCCGGGCTAAAGATCAGTATCAACTGTGGCCCGAGCTTTCACCAAGACCAGAATCATCACTGAACTGAACTCCAGGGAACAGTAACCACACTGACTCGGAGAATGACAGAGGGATGTGGACGTGTGGACGCCGGAATCACCCAACTGTTTCAACTATTATGACTTATTGTGAATACACGAACAATTTAACGTCTCTGACAGGATGTTTTTTACACGTTACAATTGAACAAAGTTGAGAGTTATTGTGAACGCGTTAAATAAAGTTTGACTGACTTATCTAACTGTTGTGTTTTGTTTAATGCGCCTTATAATCCGGTGTGGTTTATATGTGAAAAAAGTTCGAAAATAGACCATTCAATGACAGTGCACCTTGTAAAGCCAATGATGTTCATTTTGTCTTCTTATATACTTGAACTTCTTGGGTTCTTTTTAAAGACAATGCAGTAAAGTGTATTTACCTTGTTGACATGTTTCGGCTGCTGCTGTAAACCATCTTCAGAACTGTCACCGGTCTTGGTGGTGACATGTCGTATATCAGCAGTTGTTACTTCCTGTAGGCGTGGTCAGACCTGATGGACTTGGCAGATCACTCAGACTGACCACGCCTCCCGTTCACATCCAAAAAAAGGAACACCGAAAGGACTGCGAAAAGGAAACATCAGGGAGACTCACCAAAACACAAAAAGACAAAGCAGAACAGGAAAACCTAAAATCCACCGTATCAGACACTCTAAACCACAACCACATTCTGAATTGGGACGGGGCTCAGGTCATTGGATCAGAAAATAACAAGTTCAAAGGATGGATCAGGGAGGACAGTGAAATCAGGAAACGAGGCACAGACAGCATTAACCGTGATGACGGCGCGTTCCTCCTTTCACACACCTGGGACACCCTCCTCCAGAGACACCGGGCGACAGGAGGCGTGGTCACTCTGAGCGAAACGCCAGGTCCATCAGGTCTGACCACGCCTACAGGAAGTAACAACTGCTGATATACGACACGTCACCACCAACACCGGGGACAGTTTTGAAGATGGTTTGCAGGAGCAGCCAAAACATGTCAACAAGGTAAAAACACTTTACTGTATTGTCTTTAAAAAGAACCCAAGAAGTTCAAGTGCGCTTTATAATCCAGAGCTCCCAAAATGCGCAAAATACGGTAATGTTATTTCTGGATTAGAGGTCACTGCTCTGTCTTCTGTCCTCTATGGCTACGTTCAGACTGCAGGGCTTAATGCTCAATTCTGATTTTTTGTGCAATCCGAGTTTTTTTGCGAGGTCGTTCACATTTCCAGTTAAATGTGACTTGTATGTGATCTCCAGTGTGAACTTTAAACGGCCCAAAAGTGTCCCACATGTGCACTGGAGACACGACGACGTCAACCGCTGTTTACGGAAGTTGTCCAAACATGGATGCAGCATTGAGCACCTGGAGATTTTAAAGTTCCTCTCGTACCGGAGCCAGAACATTAACAACTTACTTGTTTTAAGGAGGAGATTGAGAAGGAGAAGGACGAGGTTTTTGGTCGTGGTGTTTTGTGGGGCAGCGGCAGCAACATCCATTGAAAGGAACGTGTGGATGTGGAGACGGAGCCAAGAGTGGTGAGTGGTGATGTGCTTCACTTCAGTGACACAGAGTTCATTAACAATTTTCACCTACTTCAGCGCAGAATAGTGACGTTTGTGTCTTGTTGATAACGTGTAGGTGGATGAATGCACTTTGGCCGTTCAGACTGAAGTCACATGTCAAAAGATCAGATATGTATCAGTTTTAGGAGCACATATCCAAGTGTCCTGGGTCGCATTTGAAAAAATCGGATCTGTGTCGTTCATGATGTCATTAAAAGATCAGATACAGGTCACATAGAAGCCAAAAAATTGGATTTGGGTCACTTGAGGCTGCAGTTTGAACGTCGCCTATGTGACATCTTCATCCAGGCTAACATGAGATAACCATGACAAGAACAATTTAAACAATTTGCATGTACATATGGAAATAACACCTCTGAACTGTCTAAAGGGCAGGACACTTCAGGACCATGGATAGCACCTGTTTAACTTCTGATCAGTTGCTTTGGATTTGTGTTTATCTTCTTAACCAACTATTGAAAATGAATCACTTGTGCATCATGTTTACTGGACAAGTGTATCTATTATATGTTGTGAATTGTTTTGTGAGACAATTC